TTCATGGTTCGAGTACCATGATTTGTAGCAGATCCCGAGGTGATTTCATGGTTCGAGTACCATGATTTGTAGCAGATCGCGAGGTGATTTCATGGTTCGAGTACCATGATTTGTAGCAGATCGAGAGGTGATTTCATGGTTCAAGTACCATGATTTGTAGCAGATCGAGAGGTGATGTCATGGTTCGAGTACCATGATCCAAAGCAGACTGAGAAGAGAGAACATGGTTTGAGTACCATGATTGTAGCAGACTGTGAAGAGAAAACATGGTTCGGGTACCATGATTCATAGCAGATCGAGAGGTGGCCACATGGTTCGAGTACCATGATGTCGCACCCCGAAACCGGCGGCGGAAACGTTCCGGGGTGGAGGACGTCATACGTAGTATCACAACCATTGAACATAGTAATCATAGTAAGCACAACCATTACATTACCTAAGAAAAGTTACATTCGTTTGAGAATGGAGAAATACATAGTTTATATACATCAGTATATCAAAAGTAAAGACGAGACTTCTATACACTCCGTCTTCTCCAAAAGTAACGGGATACCTGCCTAACGAGAACCTGAGAATACAAGCAGTTTTAAAATATCAGCATAAAGCTGGTGAGTTCATAAGCATGTTTTGTAAGGAAATCCGGTTATTTAATCTTGTGATAAATAATTCATTTCCTTTAATAAAGATCGTTGTTATATCGAAGACCATTGTTACTGAGTTATGAATTACATAAGCATGTTTTCCCAGAAAATCCCATATTTTCTAACATGTAAGTTGGTTTCCATAGAATGAGAAAAACCTTGACTAATCATCAATAAGTTAAGAAAACCATAAGTTAGGATCCTGGAATTCCCCTCCAAATACGAAAGTAGGTAGTTTTAATACATAAAACTATAGATGAAAGAAAGAAATCCGTGAATAAAGTTAGTTAATTTAGTACGTATTGTGAGTCGTATAACCATACTGATTTGACCCGTGACCTCCTTGACGTTTTTCAGGCGTCGATCGATTTTCAAAATTTGTCACCCCAGGCGTGCCGGCCTAACTGTAGCTAGCAGTTTAGGTGTGGGATTGTCAGTCCCGAATAGATCTATCCACAAATTTCACGTTCTCCCTCCAGGAGACTCTGGTTATACTTCCGAAGAGGATTTACTGGTAACCCGAAGGGTATATCGAAGATAAGTCTCACAAGTTAGAATTAACTAAATTACGGGATAACTGGTCGTCATCAAATTTCGAAATCGTTTGGAACAAAGTAGAGTATAAATAATTACATACAAAGTAATTATTTAGCATGATACTCTAGGTTTAACATGGATAAACTAAATCAGACATAGTTTATATATATTGACTTTGCATGAAATCTGAATCCGTAAAACAAGTAATAAAGATCCCAATTATTCCCATAATAATTTGAATGGTTGAGAAGTTTCACGCTGTTCTGAAAACTATGTAATTATATTTAGAAAACGTCCCTTATGCTCCGCATGTTACAAAAGGGATACAGTATCTAAAGTTTGACAGAAAATCGTATAATTACATCAGTTTTTAAGTTACAAAAACCTTTATGATTTGCTTGTATTCCCCCCCTGAAAAACATGAAAAACTCGGAAAAGTGTAGGGGTATGAACTCACCAGACGAGAAATGTGCCGGATAGGATGCTAAGTGTCAATTTAGAGCTTGAACACGCGCGAGGATCCTATGTAACATGAGGAGATACATAATGTATCTAATTAGACATTGAACTACTAATTAAGTAAGATAATACACCCGAGGCGCGAAAACACTTTATTTCAAGTGTTAGGAATGATTCGGGTTGCATCTAAGGAGTGTTGGCCTTGATATGGAGTTTACTCTTCAAGTGTAAGCCTTAGGGGTGTTTACGGTCCAAAGACCATATCCCCCATGAGTTTACGGCCGTAAACTCATGGGAATGGTGCATTTGGGTGTTTCAAGGTCTCATGCTTCACAAGGAAGGGTTCTAGGGTTGATTCAAGGGCTTAGGAAGTGTTTGGGGCTGGAATGGACCCTTTATGGAGTTTACGGTTTCTGAACCACTCTGGGAGTTTCGGTCAACCACTCCTTGGGGAGTTTACGGTCGTAAACACTCCTTGGGGAGTTTACGGTCGTAAACACATGGGTTACGGCCGTAAACTCATGTGTGTCCATTTTTCATGTGTTTTGGTGGTTGTAGGTCATGCATGCAAGGTTCTAGACCCAAATGTAAGCCATACAAGGTGTTAAGGGCACTTAAACACCCTTTGGAGGTGTTTACGGTTTTGGGAGACCTTCCCAAACCGTAAACTCATGTTTGCACCATTCAATCCATGTTTTAGGGTTCTAAGATCATTCCAGCAAGTTTCTAGGTCATTAGCCAAGCATTGAAGAGTTTTGGGGCATCAAAACCCCATTTTGGGGTGTTTACGGTTCATGAATGTTCATGGACCGTAAACTCATGTTTACCCCCAAAAAGTCATGATCTTGGGGTTCTAAGTTCATGCATGCAAGTTTCTAAGCCATAGCTAAACACTAGAAGAGGTTTGGAAGGGTTTTGGGGCTTCAAAACCCCTTTTGGGAGTTTACGGTTTTGGGAGGTGTTCCCAAACCGTAAACACAAGTTTTTGGGTCCTTTGGAGAGTTTAACCCACAGATTTGCATGCATGTTAAGTTAAACAACAAGCTAGGAAGGATTACTTACGATTTTGGAGCTTGAATGGGTGATTCTTGAGCAAAAATCCGATTTTTAGAGAGAGAGTGTAGAGAGAGAAAGTTCTAAGGTGGGAAAAAGGCTCAAATGGTGGCCACTCAACCTTTATATAGGCCTTGAGTTAGTGGCCAGGTGGGGACACACCCAATCCCGACATTAAACGGAGTTTAAAATTTTACCCGATTAAATGGCCGTCACCCGACTTAGTCGTAATTAGAAGTTTTCCAAAAGATTATCGAGGGGTTTACATTGATATTTTTCGTTCCGACATTAATGATTATAACAATAACCCTAAATGAATTATTTAAATTAAAAATAACGGAAAACTTTATAATAAAATAATTTTTATTAACGGAATGGGTTACAGTGACGGAATAAATTTCGGGTTGTCACATCATCCCCCCGTTAGAGGAATTTCGTCCCGAAATTTAGAATTAAGATACAAATCATGGATTTGGAAAGAGATGCGGATACTTCTGTTTCATTGAGTCTTCGCGCTCCCAAGTGAATTCGGGTCCCCGCTTGGCATTCCAACGAACCTTCACTATCGGGATGCGGCTTTGTTTCGTTCGTTTGATTTCTCGATCCATGATTTCGATTGGTTCTTCCACAAAGTTCAGATTTTCGTTGATCTTGATCTCATCAAGAGGGATCACAAGGGTCTCATCGGAAAGACACTTTTTAAGATTAGAGACGTGGAAGACAGGATGGATATTGCTAAGTTCATGAGGTAATCGAAGTTTGTAGGCTACGGGACCGATCCTAGCGAGGATCTCGAAGGGTCCTATGTATCTTGGATTCAGCTTTCCATGTTTTCCGAAGCGTATCATGCCTTTCCAGGGTGAGACTTTCAACAGGACACGGTCTCCAACCTTGAATTCCAAGGGTTTTCGTCGTTTATCGGCGTAGCTCTTTTGTCTATCTCGGGAGGCCTTAAGTCGTTCTCGGATTTGTACGATTCTTTCGGTGGTTTCGCGGATGATTTATGGACCAGTGAGAGTGCTGTCAGGGACTTGTCCCTTGACCAGCTGCGTGTCGCCCACCTCAGCCCAGGACAGAGGGGATCTGCACTTGCGGCCATAGAGGGCTTCGAAAGGCGCAGCCTTGATGCTAGTATGGTAGCTGTTGTTATAAGAAAATTCAACCAAAGGAAGATGAGTGTCCCACGATGCGCCGAAATCGATGACGCAGGCTCTCAACATGTCTTCCAAGGTTTGGATGGTCCTCTCACTCTGTCCATCTGTTTGAGGATGGTAAGCCGTGCTCATATCCAGCTTAGTTCCAAGAGTCTTCTGTAGTGACTGCCAGAATCTCGAAGTGAACCTGCTATCCCGATCGGAAATAATGGACACAGGCACACCGTGCAGTCGGACTACCTCTTGGATGTAGATTCGCGTGAGTCTCTCCATTTTGAAGTTTTCCTTGATAGGAAGGAAGTGAGCGGATTTGGTTAGTCGATCGACAATTACCCAAATGGCGTCGTACCCGCTCGGAGATTTGGGTAGTTTGGTAATGAAATCCATAGTAATCCTCTCCCACTTCCATTCAGGTATCTCTGGTTGTTGGAGTAGACCGGAGGGTTTCTGATATTCGACCTTCACCTTGGCGCAAGTCAGGCACTTGCCCACGAAGGTAGCGATCTCTGCTTTCATGTTTGGCCACCAATATAGTTTCTTGAGATCCAGGTACATCTTATCCGAACCTGGGTGTACGGAGTATTTAGTATTGTGAGCTTCGTTCATGATAACCTCCCTGAAACCTCCGAACTTCGGGGTCCAGATTCGGTCCATGAAACAATAGACTCCGTCGCTTCTGATCTCAAGATTCTTATCCATTCCTCTCAGGGCTTCGCCTGACATGATCTCTGGTCTTAAGGCTTCCAACTGAGCCTCTTTGATTTGCGCAGATAAATGGGAATGGATAGTCATAGTCAGTGCCTTCACTCTACGACCTGAGTACTCTTTCCGGCTGAGGGCATCTGCCACCACATTGGCCTTGCCGGGATGGTAGCGGATTTCACACTCGTAGTCGTTGAGTAGTTCAACCCATCGCCGTTGTCTCATGTTCAGCTCCTTCTGGTCGAGGATGTGCTGTAGACTTTTATGGTCAGTGAAGATAGTGCACTTAGTTCCGTAGAGATAATGTCTCCATATTTTCAATGCGAAGACCACTGCTCCCAATTCTAGGTCGTGCGTCGTGTAGTTGACTTCGTGTACTTTCAGCTGTCTCGAGGCATAAGCAATGACTTTTCCCCGTTGCATGAGCACACAACCTAGGCCCTGATTAGATGCATCACAGTAAACAACGAAGTCTTCTGTCCCTTCGCGCAGGCGACAGTATAGGTGCGCTGCATAGGGCCCGCTTCAATGTTTGGAACGCAGTGTCTTGCTTTTCACTCCAACAAAAGGGTACGCCTTTCTGAGTTAGAGTGGTTAAGGGTTTGGCAATTCTGGAGAAATTTTGGATAAATCTGCGATAGTAGCCAGCGAGACCCAAGAATTGACGGATTTCAGTGGGTGTCGTTGGTGCTGACCAGTTCTCTATCGCTTTGATTTTGGAGGGGTCCACGTGTATGCCTTCCTCGCTTACTACGTGACCTAGGAAAGTTACTCTTCGGATCCAGAATTCACATTTGGAGAATTTCGCGTACAACTTCTCCGTCCTTAAGGTTTCCAGTACTGATTTCAAGTGTTGTTTGTGATCTTCCTCGTTTTTGGAATAGACAAGTATATCGTCAATGAATACGATGACGAACTTGTCCAGGAAAGGACGGCACACCCGATTCATCAGGTCCATGAATACTGCCGGTGCGTTGGTTAGGCCGAAGGGCATAACTACGAACTCGTAGTGACCATATCGAGTCCGAAAGGCTGTTTTAGGAACATCACCCTCATGGACTCGTAGCTGATGGTACCCTGATCTTAAATCTATTTTCGAGAAGTAGCTGGCTCCTTGAAGTTGATCGAAAAGGTCGTCTATCCGAGGAAGAGGATAACGGTTTTTGATTGTGAGCTTATTCAGCTCCCGATAATCGATACACATTCGAAAGGATCCATCCTTCTTTTTCACAAACAAGATTGGGGCTCCCCAGGGTGAGGAACTCGGTCTGATGAATCCTTTTGATGAGCAGCTCGTTGAGCTGACTAGATAACTCTTGCATTTCTGCTGGTGCTAATCGGTAGGGGGATTTGGCTACGGGGGTAGCTCCGGGGACTAAGTCGATACGAAACTCGGCTTGGCGCTCAAGAGGGATTCCTGGGAGGTCTTCTGGAAAAACATCGGGAAAGTTGCAGACTTCGGGGATGCTCTCGAGGTCATTAACTTCTTGCTTCTCGTTAATGACGTGGGCTAGGAATGCATAACACTCTTTCCGCAGGAGTTTCTGGGCTTTGACGCATGAAATGATGCGAAGGTTTGAACTGAGTTTATCACCGTAGATTACAAGAGTTTCGTCGAGGGAAAGATTGAGAGGTATAGCCTTTTCGAAACAAAGGATATCAGCACGATTGGGGCTCAACCAATCCATGCCGATGATGACATCAAAGCTTTTTATGGAGACTACATAAGGTCGATGGGAAATGAATGGTCGTTTAAGGTAAGGGTACAACCTACGTATATCTCGTTAGCGCTCTCTTTCTCACCGTTAGCCATTTCGACGGTAAACTTTTCGGTTAATGGTTGAGGATTATGTTTAAGAAGACGTTTGAATGAATGGCTAACAAAACTTCGTTCTGCACCAGAATCGAAAAGGATGCATGCATAAGAGTTGTCGAGAAGGAACGTACCCGTGACAACGGTGGGGTCGGCGACTGCCTCCTCTTGTCCCATAGTTAGAAATCTCCCGGTGTTGTTGGTTGTTGCTGCTTTGGGGCAGTTTCTCTTGAAATGCCCAACCTCCCCACAGTTGTAGCAGGCTCGACCAACACCTGCTCCAGAGGCCTGAGTAGTTTGTTGAACTGGGTTTCTACAGTCTCGAGCCAAATGGCCCTTTTTACCACAATTGTTGCAGAGCTTTTCACGACAAGGTCCAGGAGTACGATGGTGGTAACTGCACTTGTCGTACCATGGGAGGGTACCAGTGTATCCACTGGTAGGAGCTTGAGTTGTAGGAGCGGCGACAGGAGTTGTAGCAGCGTGAACTGCCACAGTTTGCTGTTTCTTCGAGGATCCTTGCGAACCTTGACCCTTTCGTTTGTTCCAGAATTTCTTTTTATTTTCACCACTCCCTTTAGCCGGTTCAGGAATGGTGGCCACTTCCTCGAGATCATCACCATGATCAATCAGAGTTTGCGCCAAACATTTAGCGATGTCGAAGGTGTCTGGCTTCGCAGCCAAAACATTTCCCTTGGTTGGCTGGGTCAGCCTCCAAATGAATCGTTCAATCTTTTTGCTTTCGGGGGAGATCATTCTCGGACAAAGGAGTGCTAGGTCTTCAAACCTAGAAGTGTAGGAAGCAATGTCGGAACCCTTCATCCTTAGGGTCCAGAGTTCGTGTTCGAGTTTCTGCATCTCGCCCCGTGGGCAGTACTGGCTTTCATAAGTTCCTTTAGGCTTTCCCAACCCATTAGCATTTGCCACCGGTTAGGGTTAAGGATTTTTCGAACCATTGAGTCAGGGAAATAACACCTCCTGTGCCGTCGAAAGTTGTGGGTTTTGCGTTCATGAAGTCCTTATAAGAGCATTCTTTCTGGCGTTCCTGACCGCCTTCCTGGATTTGGGGATGCATACCACCTCCCTGACCACCAGATCCACCAGGATTCATTTGTGACATTGCGGCAGCCACTGCAGCAGTAACAGCTGCCTGGAATATGACAGGATCAAACTGAGGAGGCGGTGGTGGTGGTGGAGTGTCGTCGTTTCTCCTGATAGGTCTTTTTCGGGGAGGCATCTTGTTCTAAAACAATCAGGAAGAAGAGGATGGTAAGTCCTCTGGATAGAATTAAGAGATATGAAACAAGGGATATCTCATTATGGCAGTTAGAGTGTTCTACAAAGCGATAGTATAGGAAAAGTTACTAAAGCAAGTAAACTATCGCTAAGGAAGGAATGAGTAGCAACACTTGGGATGAACTTCTACAATGCATTCGGTTTTGACTAAAATACTCCTATAGTATTTTGAGTTGGATAGATATTAGGTAAGTTTTAGGCCAGTTGTAACACCAAAGTCACTCCCAAGCACATGTTGGTCATGTCTCGAATAAATATAGTTGATCAGGCTATATTGACCCTAGACATGATTACATAACTGCCCAGGTTTAACCGCAGTGTTCAACATCCAAAATACTTTTGTTTTGTTCTGCTTAAGGCACGGTTCCTGGGATATGGGTATACTTGTATACTTTTGTAAAAATACTTATATTTTGAAAGTATACTTTTAGTTTAGAGCACCTAGGCCCCTTAGTGTTTATAGTTGTATACCATGTAAGGTTCGGTATACTTAGTTCACTATAAACAATAGCTCTGATACCAATCTGTCGCACCCCGAAACCGGCGGCGGAAACGTTCCGGGGTGGAGGACGTCATACGTAGTATCACAACCATTGAACATAGTAATCATAGTAAGCATAACCATTACATTACCTAAGAAAAGTTACATTCGTTTGAGAATGGAGAAATACATAGTTTATATACATCAGTATATCAAAAGTAAAGACGAGACTTCTATACACTCTGTCTTCTCCAAAAGTAACGGGATACCTGCCTAACGAGAACTTGAGAATACAAGCAGTTTTAAAATATCAGCATAAAGCTGGTGAGTTCATAAGCATGTTTTGTAAGGAAATCCGGTTATTTAATCTTGTGATAAATAATTCATTTCCTTTAATAAAGATTGGTGTTATATCGAAGACCATTGTTACTGAGTTATGAATTACATAAGCATGTTTTCCCAGAAAATCCCATATTTTCTAACATGTAAGTTGGTTTCCATAGAATGAGAAAAACCTTGACTAATCATCAATAAGTTAAGAAAACCATAAGTTAGGATCCTGGAATTCCCCTCCAGTACGAAAGTAGGTAGTTTTAATACATAAAACTATAGATGAAAGAAAGAAATCTGTGAATAGAGTTAGTTAATTTAGTACGTATTGTGAGTCGTATAACCATACTGATTTGACCCGTGACCTCCTTGACGTTTTTCAGGCGTCGATCAATTTTCAAAATTTGTCACCCCAGGCGTGCCGGCCTAACTGTAGCTAGCAGTTTAGGTGTGGGATTGTCAGTCCCGAATAGATCTATCCACAAATTTCACGTTCTCCCTCCAGGAGACTCTGGTTATACTTCCGAAGAGGATTTACTGGTAACCCGAAGGGTATATCGAAGATAAGTCTCACAAGTTAGAATTAACTAAATTACGGGATAACTGGTCGTCATCAAATTTCGAAATCGTTTGGAACAAAGTAGAGTATAAATAATTACATACAAAGTAATTATTTAGCATGATACTCTAGGTTTAACATGGATAAACTAAATCTGACATAGTTTATATATATTGACTTTGCATGAAATCTGAATCCGTAAAACAAGTAATAAAGATCCCAAATTATTCCCATAATAATTTGAATGGTTTGAGAAGTTTTCACGCTGTTCTGAAAACTATGTAATTATATTTAGAAAACGTCCCTTATGCTCCGCATGTTACAAAAGGGATACAGTATCTAAAGTTTGACAGAAAATCGTATAATTACATCAGTTTTTAAGTTACAAAAACCTTTATGATTTGCTTGTATTCCCCCCCTGAAAAACATGAAAAACTCGGAAAAGTGTAGGGGTATGAACTCACCAGACGAGAAATGTGCCGGATAGGATGCTAAGTGTCAATTTAGAGCTTGAACATGCGCGAGGATCCTATGTAACATGAGGAGATACATAAGTGTATCTAATTAGACATTGAACTACTAATTAAGTAAGATAATACACCCGAGGCGCGAAAACACTTTATTTCAAGTGTTAGGAATGATTCAGGTTGCATCTAATGAGTTTTGGGCCTTGATATGGAGTTTACTCTTCAAGTGTAAGCCCGTAGGGGTGTTTACGGTCCAAAGACCATATCCCCCATGAGTTTACGGCTATAAACTCATGGGAATGGTGCATTTGGGTGTTTCAAGGTCTCTTGCTTCACAAGGAAGGGTTCTAGGGTTGATTCAAGGGCTTAGGAAGTGTTTGGGGCTTGGAATGGACCCTTTATGGAGTTTACGGTTTCTGAACCACTCCTTGGGGAGTTTACGGTCGTAAACCACTCCTTGGGGAGTTTACGGTCGTAAACCACTCCTTGGGGAGTTTACGGTCGTAAACACATGGGTTTACGGCCGTAAACTCATGTGTGTCCATTTTTCATGTGTTTTGGTGGTTGTAGGTCATGCATGCAAGGTTCTAGACCCAAATGTAAGCCATACAAGGTGTTAAGGGCACTTAAACACCCTTTGGAGGTGTTTACGGTTTTGGGAGACCTTCCCAAACCGTAAACTCATGTTTGCACCATTCAATCCATGTTTTAGGGTTCTAAGATCATTCCAGCAAGTTTCTAGGTCATTAGCCAAGCATTGAAGAGGGTTTGGGGCTTCAAAACCCCATTTTGGGGTGTTTACGGTTCATGAATGTTCATGGACCGTAAACTCATGTTTACCCCCAAAAATTCATGATCTTGGGGTTCTAAGTTCATGCATGCAAGTTTCTAAGCCATAACTAAACACTAGAAGAGGTTTGGAAGGGTTTTGGGGCTTTAAAACCCCCTTTTGGGAGTTTACGGTTTTGGGAGGTGTTCCCAAACCGTAAACACAAGTTTTTGGGTCCTTTGGAGAGTTTAACCCACAGATTTGCATGCATGTTAAGTTAAACAACAAGCTAGGAAGGATTACTTACGATTTTGGAGCTTGAATGGGTGATTCTTGAGCAAAAATCCGATTTTTAGAGAGAGAGTGTAGAGAGAGAAAGTTCTAAGGTGGGAAAAAGACTCAAATGGTGGCCACTCAACCTTTATATAGGCCTTGAGTTAGTGGCCAGGTGGGGACACACCCAATCCCGACATTAGACGGAGTTTAAAATTTTACCCGATTAAATGGTCGCCACCCGACTTAGCCGTAATTTAGAAGTTTTCCAAAAGATTATCGAGGGCGTTTCACATGATATTATTTCGTTCCGACATTTAATGATTTATAACAATAATTCTAAATGAATTATTTAAATTAAAAATTAACGGAAAACTTTATTAATAAAATAAATTTTTATTAACGGAATGGGTTACAGTGACGGAATAAATTTCGGGTTGTCACACATGACCCGTGGCGGTTAGTGTTACTGGCTCTGCCAGTTATTCTGTTGTGATTGGTCAGTCTGAGATCAGATGTGAAAGAGTATGGGGCCAGAGGGCAATGATGAACGAGTTTTAGTGGAGCATCCCTTGAAAGGGAAATCGAGTTAGCTCCGAGGAATGGTTGGTGAGATGCTAGTTGGAGTCGCAAGACTCAGGGATGAGTAGGGATGGTGTGTTACGCGAGAATACGGTCTGGGCTGAGCGACCGGCCGATAGTGTAAATGTCATTTTCTGTGACCTGAGCGGTGCTATTTCTGTTCCAGTGGGAAGCAGGAGAGGTATTGAGATATTCGGTTTCCGAGGTTGGGGGTGAGCCCTGTGGGGTGACCTTGGTTACGATCTTTGATCGGAGTATCTGGGGCAGTATGTCTGCCGCGAGGTAAGGATATAGCAGGAGCAGGTTATCAGCGGGAACTGAGACGGTCAAGGACCAGGATACACCCTACTTGAGCATAGTAGGGCATGTGTTAGCTGCAGCAACGGACGGTCAAGAGGAGTATATTCGAGCGATGACTCTTAGTGTCTATGATGGGTATCGAGTATGGAAATGAGGTCTCTGCTCCTATGATAATTCACGTGATAGGACGTCAGTTGAGGAGTCGAGGATGAGGAGTATGTTAGTTCATTATTTTCAGACAGAGAGTCAGGGTTACTACTGGACAGTTGAGATGTCCGGTAGTGGGATGGTGCGAGATTCTGAATGACTAGAGGCAGTCATGATGAGAAGTTTCTGAGGATTCCATCTGAGATTCGGGGTGTTTGGAGTTGTTTGATCTCCATCGGGGAGATCATCGAGCATAGTGTATCACCTTCCAAGAGTAGGTGCGATGTTACTGGTAAAAACAGTCTGTGGGATAGATTGTTGGTGAACCAATTGGTGATGGTTCGAACCCTGAGTGGGGGAGAACCGGGTACTTTTGAGGAGATCAGAGGTTTGTTCAAGAGTGGTTAGAGGACTGGATATAGAGACATGCGATGCGGATTCCCGAGACCAGGGTTATCGGTCGGTGAGTTGCGAGAGTTGGAGGGAGTTAATGCATGTTGTCCGCGTTCAAGAAAGGATGAGTGTCTACACGGCAGGTGGCCGTTGGTCAGAGGCCTTGTGGCAGATAAGAATTTTTCGAGGTGGTTGGTTCATAGGGATACTTCGGTAGTTGGGAGATTTTGGTTCGATGAATGGACTATTCTATGCTCATTG